GCAAGTGCCAGCAGGGGTGGAGATTTTAGTGATTTTTATCTGTACTGCTAAGAACTGGACTGCAAACACCAGCACATTTCACAAAGGTCAAAAAATGGCTGTCAGCTACTGGTTTTTGGTCACTGACACTCAGGGGAAAGTTTGAAACCAAAGACCTAAAGGGGAAAAGCTCTGAATCCCACTGCACTATCCCCCAAGACTTTGGGGCCAGACTGAAGCCCACGGACCTAGAAGTGAAACAATTCCATAATCCATTCTACAACTTCTGTGGAGCCATCCATGGCCACTGACCAGGGCTGAATTGGAACCAGAGACTTAGAAGAAAAATGCCCCATGTCTCATCTCTATCCCATGTAGTCCCCATAACTCCATGAGTCATTACCTGGGAGGTCCATGACTCGGATGGACACTCCAATGTTCATCAGGCTCCGTAGACCCTGACGATTGGTTTCCTCTTTGTGCCAGTAGAGCCGTGCTACATAGATAACTAGGTTCACATTAGGCTGTTCTTTCAGGAAATCCCTGATTTCCTTGCAGCAGTCCCCACAGGGACTCCAGGACATGTACCAGGTGATGGAGCAGTGGACAGAAGGATCAGATCTTTGCTCCTGAAAGACATCTTCTATGAAGTGGATTTCAGCATGCTCTGTTCGAGTGCTATGGCAACAGCTCTGCCAGGACCTTTTGCTATTGCTCCTCTTGATTTCATAGAACATGTATTGCACCCTTCGAAGAACACTTGGGTCATAACCGTCTATAAATGTCTCCTGGAGTATCTTCCCCCTGAAACATGAGAGAGATTCCAAAGAGTCACTGACTGCAGCTTTATCGCTAAGAGCTTGCCAGACACAGAAAGTTAAAAATGAGAAGGATGGGAAAGAGGCACAGATAAATGGAAACGGAACTCACAGAAGGATAGAGGGAGACTCAGAGATAGTGACTGGAGAAAGGAAAGCGAGATGGGGAAGAAGGAGAGTTAAATCTAGTATCACACTGATGAAAGGGGAGTGAGATCTGAATCTTCCCAGCTCCCACTTTGCCTGTAAATCTTGTGGAGGATGTGGTGCTTTCATTCTCACCCCTGTGTGATGCCTCTGGATACATGATCTGTGGGGAAAAGAATAGAGTCACCTTGTGCACAGAGAGCAACATAGGGGAAAACAGAAAAAGGAAGGCCTCCCAATGCATCCTCTACCCTGGGACCATGTGACCTATAATTGTTCATTCTCAATGGACAATTCCTATTCAGTACTGCTGAATATTGAAGAAGTTCCTTGCTAATGTGCAGTGTCCTGAGGATAGTGAAGGTGATAAGGGATCATCCTGGTCCCAAATATGGCCATTAATTTTACCATGTGCACATGCGGCAGAATGCCCATTACTTGTTAAGTAACAGTGAAATAAATAAATAAAATAATAATAATTAATAATTAATAATAAATATCTAGGACATTATCCAAAGCTCATTAAAATCAGTCCCAGGCTCTCAATTCTATGTATAACTGTAAGATACTACCAATATCCAAAGAACTGTTCTTTCATTTATTTTTATTTTATTTTACTTTAAATGTGGATTTTCCCATTAATATTTTAAAATAAACGTAATAATCATTATTAATTTATTTTTTTAAGTTGATATGTTCCAGGAGCTATAGTTATGTTAGTTCTGTTTTGGAAGAAAATAACATTCTTATTTTCTTGTTATTTTCTTTAAGAACCTTAGAAAACAAAACAAGGGAAACATGGCTCAGGAACATTGAGAACAAACTTTTTCAAATGTAGGACACATTTAAAATTTTCATTACAACCTAAGCGCCAGGATTTAATAACAAAATCCCCATGTCTTTGAAATTCCTCCATCAGCGCTTTTTTCTGCCACCATTTTCATGCCCCAATCACTTTCAACTCAAACCTGAAAGCCAAGACAGTGACACGCAGGGAAGTTCAAAAATATGCTGAGACATGCACAAACACGTACTCAACTAGAGCCCGGACCAAAGTCTATTGAAATCAGTGAAAAGACTCCCCTTGACTTCCAGGGAATTTGGTTCAATCCAGGGCTTAATTTGTAATGAATGAGGTGCTGGGGCTCAACCCCACAAGCCCCGGCACAAATTAAGCCCTGGCTGGGTGGCCAGAGAGCAGCAGTTGCTGGCCAGGAGTCCAGAGGTGCCAGGGCTATGAACTGCCATGCCTAGAGGTGCCAGGGCTAAGCCCCAGTACAAATTAGGCACTGGTTCAGTCCCATAAAGAACACATATACATTATACACATATTTATACTACTTAGTTACACTGAGGCAAGTTTTCAAATATAGACAAGCCTATACAGACACATACAAACATATGCATAGATACACAGAAAAATCTGAACTGTTTATAGAAAGAGGGGGCCAATGGGATGTACTAGTAAAAAACAAATCATTGTTATAACTTTGAAAAAGCCAGTATATATATCCACGACAACGTAGTACAATCTACCACAGCTTTAGCTCACCGTTTGTCTTTGTAAGAAGTATTCTTTTAGTACTTATGTAGGAAAATCATTTTACTGTCAGTGATTTTGTTTATCTTTGCTAAGTTAGAAACTAAAAACACATTTTATATGTAAAACACAGAGACAGACAGCTCCATCTTATATACATAGAGCCACAATAGCCATACAGATAGGCATACATACATACGCCCATACAGCTGCATATACATATATTCACCCATAAATTGATATAGACATTTGCACACATAAATGCACTAAAATACTGTATACAAACACACACACATTTACTTGCAAACACATACACACACATATGCACTAATGCTGCAGCTTTACCTCTGTTCCAACCAGCAGCCATGGCTTTCTCTCACTACAGCTTCCGAGGCTGTTTGTTTTACTGGTGCATTTTCTCCCTTTCAGTTTCTATTCCTCGGACGAGAAACCTAAGAGCATTTTGGAAATGGGAGACTCCCTGACATGCTGGGAGACATGGATAGTGTGGAAGCCAGTTGTACACAGTCAGTGAGGTTAGGATTACTGATGCAAAATAGTTATAAATAAATTATAATGTATTCTTATGTTTGGTCATTACAGATTTGCCTGCACCTTTATTAAATTTAAAGAACTACTTATAAGTACTTTGATATACATGGGGCTTGGAGAATAATAGCTTCTATATTGATATTTTAGCCGCTTGTTTTATTAAATGAAGTATTCCGGTTAATTAAAGAAACTCCTAGGAAATTTGTGCTTTGTGTCAGTAAGACACAGGCATGAAAAGCTGGAAGGGGACGTCTCTCCCTTGTTAAGGAATGGGAAGATATTCTTTCTCTAGACTCAAAGAGAAGTGGTGTACAAAGCATCTGACCACAAAAGCTGAGCCAGGAGCCTCTTCTTTTAACCCTTCTCGCCTTCTGGAGCAAAACGTCAGTTTTAAGCTCACACAAAGAATTCCAGCAGTATTCTTATCAAAAATTGATTCCGTGGTTAAACTCTCTGAAGTCTTCATATAATTTTAAGGAAACCCATGATTTAAAAAGTGGGAGTCATGTCCCTGAATGGGGAAGAGAGTTATTAAGAGACAGTTATTAAGATGTGGCCCCTCCATTTCTTGTTTCTTTAGATTATGAAATTTAGTCACTTTGGGAATAAATGTACTTGTTGCTCACCAACTTGAAACAGCCCTTTTACCCCACTGTGACAAATTGGACTTATCACGGGCACCCAGATGTGTGGCGGGAATGGAGGGGAGATTACCAATATTTAGTGCAGGGGAAGAAATATATCCTTTGCCACAATACTGGCATTGCTCCCTGCGTGGTAAGGCAGCCTAAGCCCAGAACTGCCCTTGAAATTCTCCCCCACTCCCCAGAACACACAGTGAGGAGGCATCATAGAGGGCACTTGTGTAGAGAGCAACCCGCATAGGGCACTTGTCAGCTGGCCTCAGAAAGCAACTGTGTAGAGACTCTATGATCTATAACTGGGGCTGGGATCCTCCAGCAACCTCTAGGGAGGTTTCTTATTATGATATTTGCGTTATGGGTGGGAGAAGAGAGAGAATTTCACTTGAAACTTGTGGTTTGTTTTTTCAGTCACAGCCTTGTTTCCCTTGTCACTCATCTCTGTGGGTCACGGAGGATGGCAATGGGCGTAGGAGCAGTAGCCAGGAGCAGAACCCAGTTCCTTGTCCCTGACAGCAGCACAGTCACTGGTCACTGATTCCATCCTTGGCTGCCAAAGAGAATATTTCAGAGCCACCCTCAGAGAAACACATTTCCCAACAGCCACCCCGCCACCCCCGAGGTTCCATAGCTGATCTATAATGCATTCTGGGTCGGGTGGGTTCATGATGCCATTTAACTTCTCATGGGTCTCCCCTCATTCTGAGTGAGTCTGTTCCATGGCTGAGCTATATCAAACTGGCAGTGTCCACTGGGGTTATACTTGAATAGCAGGGATAACTGGTAAAAATGTGTAAATAACACTTACTGGATTACATACTAATTGTTACCTGCAGTTTTCATATAGCTCTGAAAATTTAACAGGAGGAAGCTTGATTATTGGTGGAAACTGTCAGTTATAGGGGAGGGCAGGATGCCACCAGCTTTCCTTTCTGACCCTCATCACCATAGTTTTGTGTATCTCTTAAAAGAGCATTTGTTGGTCCTTGGTTGTACAGCTGATCTTCACCTCAGTTATCACCCTCTTTCTAACAGCCCATTTTGGGGAGATTAATGAGAATTCATTTTGATTGTTCTTTCTTATTTATAATAGTCATAGTGCCTAGGAGCTCCAGTTATGGACTAGGACCTGATTGTGCTGGGTGCTGTATTCATAGGAATTTCTATGGCCCCCCATCACTATAGTACCTGAGTACCTCACTTACAAGAATACAGCTAACCTCAGAAACCCCTGGAGGAGCTGCAGGAGACAGAACTTTCTCAGGGGCTGGTTTGTGACTGAAATGAAGGATCCCAGGAACTAAGGACCGTCTCACACCTCATCACCTTCCACTTTAAGTGCAAGGTGCAATTCTATTCTTTGACCTGAACATAAACATATCGCAATGTGCGTGTGTGTGTGTGAGAGAGAGAGAAATAACAATATGGTTGCACACACACACACATATATAGGCACATACACACACACACACACATATGCTAAAAAAAAATTCCATACAAGACACTCCTCTGGACACTCCATTTTCTGCTGGGGAGAGACTGAGAGAACAAACACATGACCGATGTTAGTTAAATTGCTTAATGCACTACTAGGAGTCACTCAGATATTGCAGTGATGAGCGCGGTAGGAGAACCTGTATAAAATAGAATGTAGGGGAGTATTATCCCTGTTTTACAGATATGGAAAATAAGGCATAAAAAGGTTTAATGACTTGCCCAAGGCCACACAGAGAGTCTGTAGCAAAGCCAAGGATGCAACTCATATCTACTGACTCCCAGTTCTGCACTTTAATATGTGGAAAAATAACGGTAGGATTTTCTGGAATCCTCTGTTTTTCTGAACCACTGCCAGGCTGGCTCTTGGCACAGAGACAGCTCTGGTCTCGTTGGATGATGATCTGCTCCTGGTAAAGGACAAAGATCAAGGGTGACATCCTGGTCTCATTGAACTCAAAGGGACCCAAAGTGTCCATCCAGGATGATTTTCTTTATTCTTTCAGAAGCCTTTGCTCCCACAGACCACAAAGTCTGTGTCCCCCTAGTGGAAACAGATGGGGTGACTTCATCCTTTTGTTTTTAAGCGGAGACAGGGTTGTGTTGGTTGCCTCTGGCCTGTGGAAGCTCTGTGTGGGCAGCCACAAGGCTCTGTCCTGTTGCTCCTTTTGTCCAATGAGGCCGTGAGATGAGACAGTGAAATAGTTTGTATGGTGATGCCATCGATATGTGGATAGCACTCAATATGACATCTCTTTTTAATCTGACCAGTGAGGTAGCTTGATTCTCTCAGTGTCTAGCTGAGACTGGGATCTGGATGGCCCTAATGTGTAATGTACATAACGGAACCCCTCAGCTGGCACTATTCACCAGCAGGGGCACTTCTCTCCATAGTGTACAGTGGAAATAAGCAACCACTTAAGTCTGAAAGTATTGAGCATTACTCTTGGAAGTCTGATGAGAATCCCATAAGAGAAGGACATACTGTAGTTAAAATAGGATCCTGACAATCAGAAATCCTGGTTCTGCCACTATCATTCAGTGAGACTGTAGGTCACTTCACCTCCGTCACTCAGTTTCCCTATCTGTAAAATGAGAGTAAAGACACTTACGTTTGTAAAGCACCATGAGATCTGCAGGTGACAAGATCTAGGCACCATAGAGGAGATGTTGTAATTCATTACCACGGGGCTAAAAGTTATGAAGGAGCTTCCTCCTGCTTGATTTCCACCTCTGGCTTCTTGTAAAAAACGTCTGAGGTGCGTAACACCAAGAAAGGGTTAAAAGCTGCGGATCGCTAACAGAAATAGGCACCTCTCTGCAGGTTAGATTTAGTCACTTATCTCTGAGAGAAGGGCGGGGCTTAGCACATCAGCTAATCTCATCAGCACCTCAGATTGGCTAGTTTAGGGGGCTCCCCTACCTGGCGTGCTGGGTTTTGTGGATCACGGACTAAGGCGCCGGTCTCATCCCATGGACAATTTATGTCCAGTGCTTGTCTCTGTGATGAAAATGACTTTTGTTCACTACAAACCTGTGTCCTTGTTATAAACAATGTCTCAGAAGTGAAAGGCTCCATAGCCCAGGCCCCCGAGCCCTGAGATTCTTCCAGTCTCTTTTGAAACAAAATAAATGGTTACCCAAGAGGTCCATGACTCTAATGCTGACTCCATTCATCACCAGGTCATGGAAGCCTTAATGGCTGCATTCAAATTCATGCCTAAAGAACTGTGCTACATACATTTGTAGGTTCACTTTCAGGTATGTCTTCAGGAACAATACCCCAGGCTGGGAGCATTCCCAGCAAGGACTCCAGGAGAGGAACCAAGTGATGGAGCAGTGGGTCAACATATTGAGAGATTTTTCCTTGAAGGCATTTTCCAGGAAGTTGATTCCAGCATGCTGGGTGCTGGTGTTTCTCCCTATTTCGGTGCTGCTGCCATACCTGATTTCGTGGAGCAGATGTGTCATCTTGGGAAGTGCACTTGGGTCATAAACCTCCTTGATACACCTTTGGTTGTATCTTCCACCTGAAATATGAGAAACGGTCCAGTGAGTAATGTTCCCACATAGCTAAATCTAGGGGCCAAAGAGAGAAATGCAGAGCCACAGAGACACAGATGGAGGGAGTCCGAGACAGAGAAAAGAGAGATTTGGAATAAAAGTGAATGAGGAAGATTATCTGGTGTCCTTCATTCCCCACTCCTTCTGGTACCATTGATGGGATTGGTCAGGTTTGGGGATATAGAACTGTCATTTTCACCTCTGGATGGTGCCTTCTGCCAAGCGACCTATTAGAAAAGATAATTAGAAAGTCAGTTATCATCTCGTGGCAGAAACACAGAAGAAGAGAGGAAGAAGCAAGATCTGGCAACTCTGCCTTTTTGTGATCATAGAAATCAATTGCATGGGTCTCATAACCACCTGGTCCTAACAGATGACCCACATTCAGTGCTGCTAAATAGGTTGCACCTCTGACATCCCATCTGATATACTCCTTAGGTAAGGGGAAATGCTCCTTAACCCCAATTCCGGTGATCAGTTTAATCCTGGATATTAAACCACTAAAGAAGCATTACATTTGTGACCCAGGGTGCCCAGGGAAGCCCTCACTGGAAATGCCAAGGTCAGGGCAGGCTGCAAAAAGGAAAGCAGATACTCCCAAGACTGGTGGGTAACCAGGAATTTAAACTCTCCAACCAGTCA